GCTCGGAGCAAGCCTCTCTCGAATCTCTTCTTTTTCCCGGTTTTATCGGCCCGGTCAATTCGCGCCGAGCGATACCGCCAGGCTCGATCCGGGTTCCATTCCCCCTACTGCTTTCGCCCCCAAGCCTAACCCTTTCGTCCGAGAGTTACTTACCGAGTCCCTTAACTCCTGCCTTAACTCGTACCCGCTCGACTCCTTTCTCGGCTCCCTGCTCCTTCCATTGACTCGTCCCCCGTGGAAATCGAAATTACACGGCGAAACCACGTAAATCCTGGAATTAACCAACGCCTCCAGGAAGCGGCATCGCCCTAGAAGATGAGGAGCAAGAGTCGAAGGTGCGATAGCGGTGATTATTTTTAATCTCCCCGTAACTCATCCTTAGGCTCCTACAGGATGCTGGAGTTCAAGTATAGGTGCAACCAAGCTTCTTGACTCGTTCTTCATCCTTTTCTTTGAATCCTCTCCACCTGGTTAATAGTTTACGGGGATCCGCTGAGCTCTGAGAATTTAGAATTCAGATTCAAGGTTCATCCGTGAGTTCATCTCTCGTGAACACGCTTTTGTGACGCATCTTCTAGAATTTCGCAAAAATCCTGAAGTTTCGGTCATCGGAGAGTCTTAGATCATGGTGGCGTCCAAGATACCTATTGTTTATGTGGTTGTTTTTCACCTTTCTTGATTTCCAGGTACCATGAATAGCCTATTTTGAAAACATCCGAATGAAAATTTTGAGTCTATTTAGGATCTCCAATTGTAGATCTTAAATGGGGTTTATATGATGTACTTTCAAATATTCGAGGTCCTACGTCATGTTAGCAATAGTATTCGTTACCTTCCCTGCTTTTCTGTTATCGAGTCGGGTTCTCTTCTCGTTCTCGATTCCAGAAGCAAACTGGACCAGACTTCGACCGCTTCCTTGACTGGTTCTTCGGTTCGTGTCTCTTCCTTTTCCTAGCCACTTCCTCCATTCATCCTCGGCTCATTCGTCTTCCGTTACTCGAGCTGGTTTTTCGATTCATTCCTCTTCAGTCATCTCGTCTCGTCCCCTACGATTCTTCCCGTTCTTTCCTCCACTTCCTTCTTTCACGACGCATTTACGTCTGGAGTGCAGATAATTCTCCCGAGAAATACTAATTGCTGCGGCGCGTTCGCACGTATTTTGCGGGCGCTCGAGTTATGCGAAATGCGAAAAGAGCCTCGACTATGCATGGAAGGCATTAGCTTCGATAGGCTAATGACGAACGCGCAGATTAGCGCTATCACGCGACCGCTAATTATTTCCCTTTGTGCCCCGCCGACTGTGCGCATCTCACGTAATGCTATACCGACAGAAGCGATGGAGGCAGGATGTTTAGACTTTTTTAGAAAAAGTCGTCACCCCCACTGTTAAACATCACCAAATCACAACGAAAGTCGTCTAATGATGAAATGGAAAATTTGCAGCTGTTTAAAATAATAATAATGTGCGAATGCGATAAAACGTGGCTAGACATTTTTATTGCATGATAACAATAGTCGTGTAAATAATTTCATAATACAAGTTGTCACAAAAGATCGTTAACAAACGAATAATTTGCAGTAAATCGCTCAAGCTGTGCTCTGACGACGGAAAATCGGGAATCCAAATCGCTGCAACTGCTTTCCTGGAATTGAAAATTGTAAAATGGCGGGACTCACGGGATTTTCTGAAAAATTCTCGCCTGGCTTGCATCTGCAGCTCTCACGTTGGGAGTAACATTTCCCCGAACGCATTCCATGCACTGAAAACGAACATTCTTTGAACCAAAGCAATATTTTGTTTAAACGGTACCAAAGAAATATTTGAATTCAAAGAATAATTAATTGACTCAAGTAAATTATAACAATTCGGGAGAAACGTTACATCCAATATATTCGAATTTGACTCAAATATTTATTCTTTACAATAATTATCCCTTGAATTAACAAAACATTCCTTTGGTACTATTCGAAGATATATTCCTTTGGTTCAATGGAATTTTTTTCCTCAATGTGTAGGTCTCGTAACAAATTGCCAATTCATATCTCCCTCAAAAGAACATAGTTAATCTCTCATACATTATTATAACTATACAGTTGTACGGCTTAACTCAATAACGAGGTTATTATGGGACGCTTGAAGGGCTTTTACCCGGTCCACGCGGTGAGGTCGCCGAAGAATCAATCTCGGGTAATCGACGATTATGAAACTAATTTGCTAATCCCGTTATTCGCGAACAATGGACGGCGGGAGTAGGGTCAATTTGGACCGCGCGGGAGGGCAGGAGTTGTCTCGCGCGACGAAGCACCGGCAATTACCTTCCGCTCGGGACCAATCGCGACGCCGGCCGGTTCAAAATGGCCGAGCGCATAAACGGATTTATCGGGCGGCGGCGAAACATCCATTCTTACCCGGGAATGTCGCGGGCAATCTTGTTAAGTCGCTACTCTTCGGAGGGGCGCGCACAGCCAAGCAGCGGTCGGGGTGCGTCTGCCGGCGGGACGGGGAGTGCCGGTTGAGCGGCTCCGAGGCGGCGAGGGGAGGGGATGCGCGGAGGTGCTGCGCGGGGAAGGGGGCGCGCCGACCTGACTGGAGTGGGGGGATCGCCGGGGGAGGATGTGGCATTCGTCGCATGCCGATCCCCGGGCAGAGTCCCGTAGGCTGCGGACACTCTTATGGGAATTTTTGCGGCCCAAGTGCTAGCGCCACCTATATCTTTGTTCAGAATCTGAAGGGCACGTTTTATGAAAAACGAATTTGAAAGAAAGTATACTTGGCGCCAAGTTGTTTAACACCAAAAGTGTTGATTTTTGGAATATGTATATTCCAGAAGTTTCGATGACATAAAATTCAATACGGATCATGAATGGTTACGATGCAATGTCGACTCAAGCCGCCATGTTTGTTTCTTGTGAAGCATTCCATTAAAATATACAAATATTTATTGCGCTTTTCTTCTTTATTCCCCCAATCTTCTGCCTCGCAAATACGTTTCACTAAAAATTTACAGATTTTTATTAAACCAACTCGCGGACTATCTTTCGATGTTTCTAGAAAATGCCGGTAATTATTCAATATTTCGTTATCCATAGTTTTGTTAGAACTTTAATCAAGACTCTTAAGTTCGATGCCGATTGCAACCTCGACTGAATTTAGCACGATATTCGAATACTCAAATGGTTCGAGAGAGAAGGAATTTTCGACTTCGAGGGATGTCTGTTCGCATTTGCGCGGACATCTTTAATGGCCTAACGGTGGCTGCCAATAGAGAGCCTGTAAATGGCCGTAGCAGGTGCCCATATCCATCGATCGCTTCAGCGTGTTCCGATAGCCGCTGAATAAATTACCGGCAGCGTAATTGTGGTCAGCCCTCCGGTAGTGCCGGAAACAATCTGACGTTGCATCAGGGTTGGAGCGACGTCGAGGGGTGGCGATTCGCGCTTAACAACCCGACGTTGGCGCTTATCAGCCGCGAGGTGACCGTCATACCGAGTTATCGCCTTTATCGAGCTCCGTGGCGAATGCTGCCATAATACCCTGCCCGCCATCTTTTTTCTGCTCTGCAAGAAATTCGCCCTCGAGAAATTCACCTCGGCGCCGCCGGCGGCCATTTTGTTCTTCGTGCAGTTTCTTGCTTGGCCTCCGACCACGAAACCACGGCGACCTTAGGATCGTGTGAACCATGCTAGGGAATGCACCGAGATCTGTAATTCAGCGCAAACTAATGATTCCATTCGCTTTCAAGTGCACTTCCCTTCACTAAATCATACGCTGTTTCATGAGGGAGGTTAATGGGACCTCGAGAAAAGGTATACTTTCCACGTTTCCAGCAGAAAATCGGAAAAATTAACTCACGTCGAGTTAGGCTTATAATTCCATTCGCCTTCAAGCGCGCTTCTTTTCAGAAAATGTTATTTCATGATCACATAAACACCAAGTAGAAGAATTCACGATTTAAGCACGTAAAACTAGTGGAAATAGGGTGGTAGGTGTAGAAATTCAACATTTACCCACCTAAGGTTTTCATCTACGTTAAATATACGGTTATAAGAAACGTTGATTTTACGTGTTATGTCTTCGATGCGTTTATATCCCTAATCGAGAAGAAACGTGTACTTTAACGTAATATATACGTTTAAACGACGTTCATGTTACGCGACTGAAGCGATAGTTTAATAAACGTAGAATAGATGTTATATCAACGTTGAATTCGTCGTGGGAATGGTGGACGTTGGAACGGGTAAAACACGGTTTTTTTACAACACATTTTATACGATTACTGTCAACGGTTTTATAGTATTTATCAACGTGTATTTCTCCATTTTGTGTTTCTTACGAAAGGTGTACTTTCCACATTTCTAGCAGAATATTTGGAAAATTGAGTTACGTCGAGTTAGGATAACGATTGTTATCTATGTGGGGTCGATGTCCCACTCGTAAGGAAGTGATTGTCACGACAATTTATCGTCTTCGCCAAACATGGTGAACTTGGCTGCGATATCTCGCTCCTTATGTTCGCCAGCCGCCATTTTCTTTGCTGTGTCTTTTTTTACGGGGCCCTCGACCGCGAAACCACACAACCTTATGAGCGTGCGAAACCTTCAAGAAGGTTTACAGGAACCTTTCGATCGAGGGTCGCATTTAGTTTCTTTGTGTTTTTTCCTTTGACTCTTTATTAACGTAGTCGATTTTGTGGAGTGGGTAGAGGTTATAGAGATATATAGGACGTATTTACGTAGTCCGTCATCTTGTTTCTGATATGAACTACGATGATCGGTTAGTTTTTATGCTTAAAATGGTAAAGAAGGACCCTAGATGATGAGGAATAATTTTGGGTCTGATATGAAATACGATGATCGGATTATTTTTATACTTAAAAGGGTTAAGGAAGGGTTTTGGAAGATTAGGAGTAATTTTGATGGTAGAACCGCTATCGAACGCGACTTTTCGATGCAAACATAAAACAGTCTGTCCCAATATATGCTCTGCTTCGTGATTTCAGACGATACTCAACTCCATGCACAAATACCAGCCGAGGTTTCATCTCGTGAGGGCGAACGACATCATGAAACTTCCCTACTCCACGTTTCGAAGTTACGTCTTTAAGGAGACCGAGTTCATCGCCGTGACGGCCTACCAAAACGAGAAGGTGAGCTTTATAAAAATTCCAAAAACCAGAATTTCCATTACCGAATCAGGCACAACCTGTATTTGAACTGTACGAGTACAAAAAAACTAAAAGAAACAGAAAAAGAACGGAAATAAAATGTGTTTCAAATAATTTCATTCACTACATGGCGCAACGAAAGCGCACCTTCCAAAACGATAAAGAAAAGATATTACTGCTAAAGAGAGCAACTTTCAGCATTTCGTTTTTTAAATATTGTCACTACGGCTCGAACGATTGTTGCTAGCGGGTAGGTAAATCGTTAATTTATGAGATAGTTAAATTCCGCTAAAATATTTATAATATCGAGAATTTTTGATACTTCCTATAGTTACGTGCAAGTCGTAATGAGTAATGGGGAAAACATTTAGTAGGGTATTCAGGAATTTTTGTCACGGTTATGGTGATATTTTTATACCTGAGCACTTGTAATATTTTTCTTGGCGCATAACGAAATGTTTATGGGAAATTTTTATGGCACTCCGAGTTTGCGTGAGTACGCGGATACGGTATATACGGTTTCGCAGTACCGACTATCGCCGGTAGATCGCGGTGTCCTGTTTTACTTTATGACCGCCCTAATTAATATCTGCTTGTGCCGATAGAGCTCTCGCATTTCGAGGAATAACTGGGTTCTCGGTACGCATTATTTCTGGTAGACACGGCCCGGTTTGTATCGCGCCGCCGATCGTAAAGAGACGCGTCCTTGTCCGATTTTTGAGAACGAGGCGGTCTAAATTTTTCTGCTCCTCCGTCGACCATCTTTCCAAGTAAATCGTCGAGACGGTGGTCCGAAATGTTGGGGAAAAAAGGAAATGATCTTCCGTTATCGTTAAATATTATAATTTTGGTAAATGTTTGTGCCTGACTCAAGTTTGGAAAATTCTCTGCCAAGTCAAGACTTTCTATTTTAGTTGACGTCAAATACGTTTTCCGGAAATCTGTTTCGTTATCGGACTGAAACTTTTTTGGGTTATGTTGACTTTCTTTCATGTTGGATTTTATTTTTTTCTCAGATCACGCAGCTGAAGATCGACAACAACCCCTTCGCCAAGGGCTTCCGGGACACGGGGGCAGGAAAGCGAGAGAAAAAGTGAGTGTCGCTTTCAAAATTTTTCTGGTTATGGTTTTCTTATAAATATTCATATATTTCTCTTGGAGATTTTCCATATCAAAGTACGCACGTAAACGAGACAACAACTTTGGCTCCTTTTGGGGTGTATTTTAGAACGGGACTTGCTATAATAATTCAAGAGGCTTGGCTGTGAACTCAGAGACCTTGTCATTTTGCGAAATCTATTCCCCGAAATATAGGAAAAATATGACATGGAAATTAAAACTTTAATACGGAAGATTTTTAATTTAGAAATTGCAACATAGATTTTTCCACCTCGGGCTTTCAATAATTTGTAAAGAGTTGCATGAATACTGCTCACGCCATGTTTTTTGCATGGGGTTGAAAATGTTCATTTTGGTTGCCATTTTTCCGAATCCCTACACATTTACTGAGAGAGTAAGGTAAACCCAAGAATCGATTTTGATTCAATAGAGATCTCGTCTTTTAACCTCTTATATACATCTGCACGTTACAGTGTACATTCATGACCAATAAATAGACGTATTCACCCAGAATTTCAAATTACAATTAAGTATATCTGCATTAGGAACATGAAACTTCTTTCTTTTAAGCTGTTTCCGGCTTTAAGGTGATGTGAAAGTGGCGTCGAAGAGGTTTTGTTTATAAAACTTTTCTCTCAATTCGGTTTACCGACTAGTTTGACTCTTTACAACATGAATAGGGAGGCTGTAAGGAAGGTCCTGAAACTCATGAAATTTCAATTCTTTTCAAATTTTGTTTACAGGTATTATAAAAATAGTTTATAAAAAATTAATTTTTGCGAGTTTCACCTACCTTAGGATCTCCATATTCACGTTTTAAGGTATGAAACGATTTGAGACCCCCAGTTTGTATAAAAGTTTTATGAACAATTGAGCTTTCGGATGCCGCTTTCACATCCTCTTAAAGGATCGAACGAATTTATATTGACTTTAGATTATACCCAGCGAAAATAAAAATAATTCCGAGTAATTTGAAAACCCTATTCCAGGCATAAGAAATTCTTAACAATTCCGGTATATTTATCTGATAAATATTTCTCGGGTCTAAAATATCAAACGAATTTATGCTAACTTTAGGTGATAATTAATGAAAATAAAAATGGTTCCAAGTACTTTAAAGTCCCTACTCCACGTATAGGAATATGTTAATGACTCCGATATATACATGGGGTTCCACAACGCAGAGTCGGTAGACAAGGTTAAGGCGTGTCCGATAGGTGGTGGTAATTCAATCGGGGAAGATATCTCGGTCTTTTACCCTCTATCAGTGGCATTATTCTAAGCCAAGCGGTGACCCCCGAGCCGGGGGCTGGTTAAAACCGGGGCTCATTTGCACCCCATTCGCCGTCCAAGCGGAGGCATCCATTTGTATTCAATATTGCAAGTTTACGAGCTTATGTCAGCCACCCCTCGGGGTCCATTGTTGCCGCCGCCGATGAAGCCCATTTCAATTTCATTGAGCGCGGGGTGAAAACTCAAGTGGATTTTGATGATGTTAGGTTAGTATGCATAGAGTATGCCCGATCCGCCGTTCTCCGCCATGTTCGCCAATGGGTTTATGTGCAAACCGCCGACATGTGCCCCGCCCGAACATCCGATGCGTAATGTATCGACACACTCGCTTGTTGCAAACAAAAAGGCGCCGAGGCGGATCAATGTACCTCGTCGATTTCGCCTCATCGACTCTTTCGTAATGTGCTCCTCAAATGATCATTTTCATTATATCCAAATTTCGAAGTCCTTTCCACAGTTCGCGGAAAAGCGAACATTTTTTTCCTTTTAAACTGAGCCTAGGTGACGAGCTCCAAATTCAAGATGGCGGCGCATTCTTTGCTTGACCATCTTTAGGTACCACCCTTTTCGATCACAAATCGGCCAGAATATAATTTATTCCGTATAGTGCATAAGCATCTCTACAAAATGTCTAATATTAGTCTTCTACTCTGAGAAAGAAAGTTCGTCGAACCAAAGAAATACTTCTTTGAAAGGTAACTAGTAAATTTTGTTAATTTAAAGAATATATAGAATGACCATTTCGTAACACCTTGAAGACTGTCCTGACGGGTTCAGGAATAAAGGATGCTATTTTTAATAATCTCGAGTGTTTCCGAAGAGAATTCATTCCTGGGACGTCGATGGAAGTAATAATGAGAACGCCTTTCATAATAAGGATAACTTTTAATAATGTTGGTTATATCTTTTTTGCGACAATTCATTCCTGGGATATTGTAGGTGGTACTAATGAGGATGCCACCTATTCGAAAAATATGCCGCGACGTCGTGAACAGGTACCGAGAATAAACTTAATCGAGGGAATATGCAAAGCAAGCCGCGTCGCTGGGCCTAATTAGAATAAGGGTTAGTTTTGGCCCATGGGTTTGGTTAAGGGTGGTCGGGGCGAACGAGGAAGCCGGAAAAAGAGGGGGCGTATTCTGAAAAAGTAAAGGAGCAGGCCAGACGGAGAGTGAACCGGGGGCAAAGGACGAAGGGATGGGGTTGGAACATAGCCAATCATCGGATTAGCATACTGATGCTCAGGGGCGGCGCTATCGTTAACATGGAGGGTGCCACTTGGTGGCTTTGAATTTTATATCGCGCACCACCACGGATCGCAGCCCTCGTAAAAAGCCTATTTTCGGCTCGTCTCTTTGCCGACTTCCGGTTTCTCCGTTCGCTGTCCCAAAATAACCCCGAAAAATCGACACTCACTAAGTCCCTCTGAACTTTTTGATCCTTGCATTTTTTTTTCCTACAAATGAATTTTCATTCATTAGAACGTGGAATTTAGAGGGTCTTATCATTCTTTTCACATGCCAAAATTCAGTAGACCATGAAGTGTAACGTCTCTTCACCGACTTCCGGTTCCTCCGTTCGCTAACCCAAAATGAACCCTACACATCGACACTTACTAAATCCCTCTAAATTTTCTGATATTCGCATTTTGTCTACGAAAATTCATTATAACATGAAGTTTAGAGGGTCTTATCATTTACTTTTCTGTGCGAAAATTCAATAGACCATGAAATGTAACGTTAAATAAAATGAATGATGATAGAATGGAAAAATTCGCAACAGTGGTTTCTTATCCTTGGCTGACGATTAGCGATAGGATTAGGTGCGATCTTAAGGGTCTCGTAATTTTTTTTTCTGGCGGGAAAATTTAGTAGACCATAAAATGAAACATTAGATATCACAAATGACTGATAACGAAGACAACGGAATACTGAAATTCTCAAAAGTGGCTTCTGGTCCCGGGCTGATGGCTGGTGTCGAGGCAGGGTGCGATCTTAGGGGGGCCTGTAATTTAAAATGCAGACGGGAAGCTACCGCGCAGGATTCGCATCCCCTTAAACCCTGACATTACCTAATCCAAGGTTGACTGTGGGGTCGCGGTTTCGCTTTGAACGGTCCGATCTTCTACTTTGTCGAGACTAAACGCACAGACGGAGTCCGTTAGCTCGTTGCGATGGGGACGCTCGAGGGGAAGGCCGTCATCCCTAAGCGGGGGTGTCAGGGGCTTCAACGGTAAAGTTGAAAGGGGTGATTATAATTCCGAGCGACAAGGGCCGATGATACTAATAGTCAGCCGAATCTGTCGTGTCAAAGGAACGTGCGGCTCGCAAAGCTACGTTTTAATTTCCCCGAGATTATGATCCTCGACACCGCTGCGGTGTGTCTCTGTGAAAACGTATCAGGGGTTGGTACCCTGGCGCGAGAATCCCTCCCCTCCCCTTCGTTTGCGCGCACGCGTCCACAAATCCGCTCGGCCACGTTTATTTCAATGGACTACAAAAGCGACGAGGGAAAGAAATCCTTCGTATAACGACGAACGCAAATTCGGGGCATGGTGGCCATTCCTTGATTTCATCCCCGCCCTTTACGAGACTGCTACATTATGTGGCAAATAATCCCCAAAAATGTATATCTAATTCTCTTGCCTTATATGTGACGTGCATAGTAATTTCATAATTTATTACAAATAAAGAATAACGGGGCACGGTTTTCGGAGGTTATGTTCGATGCCGTTTTAGTCTATTGCGCGCACACGCGTCGACAAATCCATTCGGCCACGTTTATTTCAATGGACTACAAAAGCGACGAGGGAAAGAAATCCTTCGTATAACGACGAACGCAAATTCGGGGCATGGTGGCCATTCCTTGATTTCATCCGGCCCTTTAGGAGACTGCTACATTATGTGGCAAATAATCCCCAAAAATGTATATCTAATTCTCTTGCCTTATATGTGACGTGCATAGTAATTTCATAATTTATTACAAATAAAGAATAACGGGGCACGGTTTTCGGAGGTTATGTTCGATGCCGTTTTAGTCTATTGCGCGCACACGCGTCGACAAATCCATTCGGCCACGTTTATTTCAATGGACTACAAAAGCGACGAGGGAAAGAAATCCTTCGTATAACGACGAACGCAAATTCGGGGCATGGTGGCCATTCCTTGATTTCATCCGGCCCTTTAGGAGACTGCTACATTATGTGGCAAATAATCCCCAAAAATTTATATCTAATTCTCTTGCCTTATATGTGACGTGCATAGTAATTTCATAATTTATTACAAATAAAGAATAACGGGGCACGGTTTTCGGAGGTTATGTTCGATGCCGTTTTAGTCTATTGCGCGCACACGCGTCGACAAATCCATTCGGCCACGTTTATTTCAATGGACTACAAAAGCGACGAGGGAAAGAAATCCTTCGTATAACGATGAACACAAATTCGAGGCATGACGACCATTTCTTGATTTCATCTCTGCCCTACACGAGACTGCTTTATTATATGGCAAATATTTCTCAGAAATTTATATCAAATTTTCTTGCCTTACATTTTACGTGCATATTATCATATTAATTTGTTTAATATGGAAGAATTATTTTATACGTTGCATTCACGCGCGGAAGCGGTGTTTGCTTTTGGAAATAAAAAATGGCTTCGGTGAGCGATTGCCTCTTGTAGAAGTTTGACGATGTTTGACGAAGTTTCAAGATCTACGAGGCAAAAATTTCACAGAGATTTGTATTTAAGCCTACTGCCTCACATTACGTGCATATTAAACCTTATCACTCCAAGAATATTAGAGGAGTATAAGAAGTTGGCAGTATTACTGCCGGTTGGAGTGATAAGCGTTAACATAGCTCGTTAAGATATAGAATTATTTTTAACATCGCATTCGCGCGCTCCTCTACTGCAGCGCCAAGCGCTGGCAGTAATAGAAAACAAAAATGGCGTCGTTGAGTAAACTTTATATCTAATCCTACTACCCCCCACGTTACGTGTATATTAATATATTAACTCGTGAAAATATCGAATAATTTTTAACATCTCATTCGCGCGCAAAAACGGTTTCCAACGTGTTATTGCCGCACTGAGCAATGGCAGATTAAGAAAGAAAAATGGCGTCGGCGAGCAACTGCCTCTCGCGGAAGTTTGTCGAAGTTTCGAGACTCGAACACGACTAAAGATGGGATGGACATTTATTTTACTCCGGTGTGGAAAATTCAGAGCGCAATTCTAGTCTCGGATCTGGTATTGGATCGTAAGCTGATATTGATTCAGCGTGTACCTACGATACGTACGCTACAGCGGAGGTACGGACACGAGGGTGTACTATGCGTTGTTATCGAGTATACGTCTACTCGTGGGATACTGATCGCATTACACGGCATTAGGAACCGGTAAGCCTCTCAGTGAGTCCGATGCAGCTCTGGCTGTCGACTTACATGAAGTTTATACCTTGTCCGGCATGCAAGGGAAATGCATCAATTTAACCCCGTTATATTCCACTTCACGAGATGAGCTCTCCCGATGCAGCTTCCGAGAGCACTTAACGACCGACTGATCGGATGTCAGAGGCAACCCTGGACCGGCGAAGTTGCCGGCATCGATCATTCGAGTCTCCATAATAATTAATCAAATACTTGGGGGAAAAGTATAGTGTTCTTAAATAGTTAAAAAGTTGTAAGCACTTGCTTGAACATAAGATTCCATCGTGTCTTCTTCTGCGAGGAAATTCTCCAGCCTCTTAGCGCTCCAAATGCGAGGTACATGCGTCTACGTCGAAAGAATTGAATAGCATGCAGTGGCAATTTAAAACGGGTATTATCGCAATTTAAACCGAGTATAATACGAATTTGATCCAAAAATGACGTTTATGGTTAACCCGTTTCGTCACGAGAAATCTCGCGACCAAAAGAGGTTTTTTTACTGTTGATTTCTTTAAGGTGATTTGAAAGTGGCGGAAAGGAGATTGATAGTTTATGAAACTTTTCTGGATGTACTCAATCGTTCCAAATTTCACCGAGTCGCGCGTGCAAGCGTAATTTGTTCGCGAGGTATCTCGTAAAAAATCTTAAACGGACAGTATTACGTCACGACATATATCATCCTACGTGATGAAAGGGTTAATATCGCTTATTGGTTAGGAATTGCATCCGTCGCGTCCAGTGATGATCATAAATGCCTACCCACCATCCCCTAACAATATTTTGTCTGCAAGGAAGGCATTCATGTCCGCCAGTGTACAACAATCGCGGAAAATCATGAACTTTCCATGGTAAGCGTGGTTTGTTCGCGAGATATCCCATAAAAATCCTTAGCTGATATTGAGTCGCGAGATATCTCATCCTAGCTGACGAAAAGGTTAATATCGTTTATTGGCTCGGAATCCCGGCTATCGTATGCAACAATCGCGCAAAATCATAAATTTTCCATGGTAAGCGTAGTTTGTTTGCGAGATATCCCATAAAAATCCTTAGCTAATATTGAATCGCGAGATATCTCATCCTAGGTGACGAAAAGGTTAATATCGTTTATTGGCTCAAAATCCCGGCTATCGTATACAACAATCGCGGGAAATCATAAATTTTCCATGGTAATCGTGGTTTGTTCGCGAGATATCCCATAAAAATCCTTAGAAAGCTGATATCGAGTCGCGAGATATCTTATCCTAGGTGACGAAAAGGTTAATATCGTTTATTGCCTCGAAATCCCGGTTATCGCATGCAACAATCGCGCAAAATCATGAATTTCCGCGGCAGCGATGATCACCGTGGATGAAAGGGTCGCCCGCAGCGATTGTCGCGGCACTTCGTCTGCAGCGCCGGAGGATATGACTCGCGCGATTTCGAGGTTAGGTGAGTCGCGCGTGCAAGCGGAGTTTACTCGTATGTACCCTTTGATCGGTTAGGTAACCACCTAATGAGCCTTCGTGCGCGTTTACGGAGGTAGCCTAATACGTTAGGCACACCGAGAACTCGCATGTGCGGAGCGCCCAGAGTACATAGAGAGGAGGAGAGACGAAGACGGTCGAGAGAGAAGGAGAGATGCACGCGTGCACTCGCGGAACGTACCCAGCTCGTGGGCGCACGTTTACCTACGTGTTGCATACGCGTTGCATACGTATTGCATACGTGTTTATACGTGTTGGACGTCTTGCATACGTATTGTATACGTGTTTTATACGTGTTGCATGTCTTGCATACGTGTTTCATACGTGTCTTATACACGTGCATCCGCGTTGCATCCGATGTTGGTCCCGGTTGCACGTGTGTCTGTCGAGTGTTGCAAGCGTACATCTGCACGTAACGTGGTCGGGGTTAGGCCGGAGCAGGAGCGACGCCGATGCACTTGTGCATACGAAAGGCGTCGAAGGTGCAATTAAGGTAATTAATTCAATCCCCCGAGCGCTGCGGGCAATGGCTACCGGGTTTTAATAAATCATTAAGCTCATTGCCGACCGGTGAGTTATTGCGCCGCGAGATCGGCCTGTCGGGTACCGGACCCGACGACTTTCGACGTTGTGCTTCCCCGTTCTCGGGTATCGCTTACGAGATCTCGCGGCCGATGTACGTCCGGGATTTATCGTCCGTCGCGGAACGGCCGCATACCCTGTCGCGGACTCCCGAGAAGCGCCTTTGGCTGCTTAAGACGCAGGGAGGCGCAATCGGTCGACTTTAGGCCGCGTATAGAATTGCAACCGCGTCAAGTTATGGTTTTTGTCGTAGGCACTTGCAACCTGGTTGCGCAATGCATAAAAGGTTGAATGTTAATCGTTGAGCGACGCGATTGAGTCAGGTTACCTTCAAACTTGCAACTGCGTCGCGGAACCCAAAATGCCCGTTCTTTAACATTTTCAAGCGGTTGAATTCTGCCAAGATGGAATTTCTAAAAAAATGGCATTACGCCCCACACGAAACTCGTTTCATAATCTAATTCTCCGCGGCAAAAAAGACGGAATTTCGAAAAAAAATGACCCACTACACCCCACACGAAATTTGTTCCATCATCTAAAGCTCCGCAGGAAAAAAGTCGAGATCTCGAAAAATTTGACGCAGGTATTTAAAACATCTCATTCGATAGGGAACCCACTCAAAATCCCCTCATCACCCTGGTCCCCCAGTTATATAGCACCCCCTCGTCCTTGCTAACTCCTTATCATTGTTGCAGAAGGCAGGCGCTGTTGACCGTGTCCGGCGGCGGTTCGCGGTTGACCTCCGGAGCGCCACCATCGCCTAAAAAGAGGCGCTACTCGAACTCCGGGACCGATGCGCTGGACGACGAGGACAAGCTCCTGGACGTGGTGGGCCCAGATACGCCGCACCCCCTACAGCACCAGGATCGGGAACACTCTCGGGAGCGAGACGACAGGACGAGCGAGCGAGGGGAGGGAAGCGAGTCGTCGGGATCCGAGAGCGGCGGCGGAGGCGGCGGCGCAGGGACGGCAGCGTCGGAAGGTCCACGGCCAGACGTGTCGGTAGGCCCCCCGCTGCATCCTCCTCTGCTGCCGTACCTGTACCCTCCGGTGCCAGGGTTGTACCCAGGTCCAGGTCCGCTGATCCCGCCCAGCCCCCTCGGTCTGCACGGAGGGGTGACCCCAGGGATGCTGTTCAACGCGCAGCTGGCGCTGGCGGCGTCGCAGCACCCCGCCCTGTTCGCCCACTACCCTCACCCTCTGGCGAGTCCGTTGCACCAGCTGAAGGGGCACCGGTTCGCACCCTACACGCTGCCGGCGCCCTCTCACGGGTCGGCGTTCGAGACGGTGACCCCCGGGAGTCGAACGCTGAGTCCCCGCTCGCCGCCGCCGCGGCCGCCGACCGGGTCGCCGACGCCTGCCTCCGGGCTCAACTCCGGCCAGGGCGCGGGCGACCTTAAGTCCATCGAGAACATGGTCAACGGCCTCCAGGACAAGCGGAAACGCAGCCCCAGCCTCACCCCCGGGCACCGTGGCGACGCCGAGGCCGGCGGGGGGAGTCCGTGACAGCAGCACCAGAACGACCTCCTCGTCACGAGCACCAACGACGAGCCCGAGGACCTCGCCCGCTGCTCCGACTCCGAGGACCCCGAGGACCTCGACGAGGACGAACCCGGGGAACTGGAGCCAGACTCCACCTCGGACCCCTCGTAGCGAGTCGTGTCGGCCCCCGACCCGGGAGCGAGCCGAACAAAGTGCAATTTTAACTAACCGAGGCCGAGGGCCTCCGTTGCCTCGCCTCCCGGCACTCTTAGCGCCCTCTGTACATATACGTAAGACGAGAGAGAGAGAGAGAGAGAGAAAGAGAGAGATTCGCATCCGCGAATCTGGACCGGCGAGACCTCGACCTCCCATCGGATCCTTGTAAATTTACGCGATCGGGCGGAGCATCTCCTACGTTCTACCTGCGAATATTAGGGACTTATTATATATATAAATATATAAAGATCAGAGGATATTAAATGACGATATTGCAATACGAAAGGCACCTCCACTATTTGCAGACCCCTGTATATATGTACCTTAGGGATATTATGTGTATATATGATATATGCTATGTATATTATATATATACATGTATGGATATGCGTACCCCCCACTTGTATTAATTATTGAATATATTATATTAATTATTAGAGTCGACGGAATCTACCCATCGTGCGGACGCTGCCCGGTTATGTCTCGTATCGTGCGAGAGTACCGAGGACGCATGACGCTCTTCGAGAGCTTCTTCGAGGTCTTCTTCGAGTTCTTTTCGGTTTTCCGTTCGCTTACACCTACATGATCGCTGACGGTTTTCCTGGGACCTTTCTTCTTGAATGTTTTGATCGGCTGCCGCGCCGAATCGAAATCAACTGCGTGTAGAATCGCAACTGATGGCAAATTTTTAATCCTGCACTCGGGTCGAAATTTGTATCCTACTTGGGAATTCTAATTGTTGGTCTTAAGAGGATATCAAAGAGACTTCTGAAGGGTCTATTGTTCGTGGAATTTTTCTGCGAACTGGAGGTACCGAATCTTTTCAAACTTCACATCGTGAATATGGTAATCCTAAGAAAGGTGATGACACTGATGAAAGTTCATTTTCTTAGAAAAAAATTTTTAAATATATGTAAACAAATTAAAAAAATAAATTGAATTTTCATAAGCGGGAGGACCTTTCTTATAATATCCATATTCACGTTTAATACTTGAAGGAGGGCAAAAATTTCGACTCTGGCAACGCCGCCATTTTGGAGAACGCGGTTGATCAGTCGCGTCGCTCTGAAATTTCGATATCGTGGCGCCGAAATTTCTTTATAATTCTGAAATTTCGAGATCGTGGCGCCGAAATTTCTTTATACTGTTGAAATTTCGAGGCTAACCCTTCCAGAATCTCTTCCTCGTTGCGATTTAACCTGTTCTTAAACGAAATTCACCGTTAGGGACGGTTTAATGCGCCGTTACGTCGGACTTTTTCTCAGACCGTCGTGCCATCTTGCGATCGATTTGTGACGATTATCGTCGAACTGGTGGAAATAAAATCGATGCTTCGATTTTATCTCAGGAACGAAGATGTTTGTCACGAACGGTACCGTTTTTTGCGTTTACCAAACGTCTCGGCTGGACGACTCCATTCGAGGGTGCGATTAATTCCTTTTGTCTCGAAGGCAAATAATTACCTACAGAGACAATTACTTTTATTTTACGTCAGTGATTTAAGTTCTAGAAACTCGTGTGATGTCAAGTCCAGCCGTGGTGGTCGGTACGAGTATAGGATTTTTATCGTTTATGGTGTACAGTCGCATCTCGATTGATTAACGGTTCAACAGTGAACTCCCCTAAAATCTGTAAAAGTGGACTCGATGACGTAAGTAATCGCAATGGCGGAATCTCGCAGAGATGCTGAAGGGAAAAAATTAGAATCCGATTTATTGAACCGGTAGAGTATTAACAATGGGACGATTATCTTTTTTCTGGTTAAGAAAATACCAGTTAAGGTGTTATGAAAGTGTCATACACCAGAAGGCAAAATATTTATAAAACTTTTCTCCAAACTGGGTGCATCGAATAATTTGAAACATTAACACGTGATTATGGAGGTGATAATAAATGTCTTGAAATTCGCGAAATCTCATTTTCTGAAAAAATATTTATTTAGCCAGAACAAGAATGAAAAAAAGTTTTATTTCGAAAAATAAAATTTTACGAGTGTTAAGACCTTCATTAGGACCTCCATAATTACGTGTTAAAGTTTCAAATTGATCGGGGCACCCAGTTTGGAGGAAAGTTTGTAAATATTTTTACGTTTTCATGTATATAGAATGACTCTTTCGTAACACCTTAAAGGGATGTGAAAGTGGCATCTAAAAAGTCAATCGTTCATGAAACTTTTACCTGAACTGGGTGTGCCGAATCGTTTCAAACTTTACAACGTGAATGTAGAGGCTGTTAGAAAGGTTCTGACACTCATGAAATTTCATTTTTCATACAAAATGTTTAAAATACCTATAAACAAATTATTAAAAAATTGAAATTTTGTGAGTTTTGAGACCTTCCTTGTAGCCTCCATATTTATATTGTAAAATTTGGACCGATTCAATACGCCCAGTTTGAAGAAAAGTTTTACGAACAAGATATCATTGACACCACTTTCACATCACCTTAAGTGCGACTTCTAACGCTTCGCCACATGCAATGTCCTTTTACACCAGAATAATTAATGAAATTCGGGACAGTTTCGCGACAAATATATTTGCGCGAGATACTCGTTTTCAGGTAACACCAGTTTCACCAGTTAGTGTAAAATTTTGAAAAATTTCCTTATTTTTTGGTCCAGGGATAACTTATGGTGATGTTGTGTAGGCTATGTTTAAATTTCCCAGCAGCGCTCGCGACGGTTCCGCGGGAGCGAAAAGCTTCGAGACGAATCGCCGCCATTTTGTACGCCGAAGAGCTGGAGAAGAGAGGCGGATGAATCCTAAGGCGGTTTTTCTTCCTTCCGAAGAAGGAGGGTACCAACTCCCGGCACTGGAGCGACGGACACAAGAAGCTAATAGTGGATAGGCTAGTCGGAATAGCTGCACATGTACAATTTCCCACGTGAGACGTTGTTATTTATTTTAAAGTTTAAACCCCGACGATCCAGTGAAAACCGAAGCCTACACTCTACGTGCGCCGCGAGCCTCTCTCGCCCGTAAATTTTCCATATTTTCCATTTCTAGAGCGAGAGTGGAGGGAAGAAACCTTTCCATAACCAAACCTTAAGGCGATATGAAAGGGTCATTCTGTATCATCAAAACGTCAAATTACAAAACTTTTCTCCAAACAGGGTGCACTGCATAATTTAAAACTTTAACGCGTGATTATGGAAGTCCACACTCACGAAATTTCATTTTTCGAAAAGAAACTTCTTTCCTTGGTTCATGCTCGAGATATATGCATCGTTTTTGAAAACATGAAATTTCGCGAATTTTAAGACCATTAGAACCTTCATAATCACGTGTTAAAGCTTTTTAATTATTCGGTACTCCCAGTTTTGAGAAAAGTTTGACAAAGATTTGGACTTTTTGATATATGACACTTTCATAATACCTTAAGCGGCGAAATTCCGAGATCGACGTTACTTAGCACTTTCGTCCATCGGATATACGATCGGCTTCGAAAAAATGCGAGTCTGATCAATTTTTATCGGGATCTCGTCGTTTTCGAGACGCCATGAAGTCCAACTTCGATTCGATTCGCAAACTCCCCGTCGAAACGCTTCGATAACCTGGAAATCATTGAACCGTTCGATCACCAACGATAAATCTCCAGGCAGGTCAGTCGCAAGAATAAGGTAGAACCATATCAGTCGTCGAAATTCGAAACTCCCGCGGAGACGCCACGACCGTCGCCATTTTGTTTTCGCCGAAAGACTGGCCTTTTTCTTGGAGTCCTCGTTGGTGTTCGATTTGGCGGGCCCTTGATCGTCGCGTCTTTCGAATCTTGTGATAAAAACTGTGCCATTTTACGCCTCTTTCTCTCTCTCCCCACCTTTCATTGGTGCCACGTGTGGACGCCGTGAAAATAGCCGCGTATACTCGCCGGACGATCAAGGGAACCTTCAGGCGAACGATTGAAGCGAGAGACGTTACTGGCGATGATGAAAAAATCGAGGGGCTATTCACTCGGAAATCAATGAAAACGATTTGCTTCTTTCAGAACCGATTGCCTTTGATTTCATGTGAGTAACAATAATGCGATTCGGTAACAGGTGACGTTCGGCCTTAAAAATATGACAGTGTTTTGGTGATTTCCAAAGATTCCTAGGGACTTTTGCTTGCGATCTCCAGCTGATTTCCACATTAATTCGAGCGTTAAAATCCATGATTTCCTATTTTGCCAGTTGATTTCCACGTAATTTCGAACATTAAGGTGTTATGAAAGGGTCATTCTATGTATCGGAGCGTCAATATATTTATAATACATTTCTCTGAATTGGATGTACCGAATCGTTTCAAACTTTACAATGTGAATATGGAGATCCTAAGGAAGGTCTTGCCACCCGTTAAATTTCATTTTCTATAAAAAATGTCAAAAATAACTGTAAACAAATTTAAAAAAGAGATGAAATTTCATGGGCACCTTCCTTATAGCCGCCATATTTACGTAGCAAAGTTCGAAACGATTCGATACACTCAGTTTGGAGAAAAGTTTTATGAACTATTGACTTCTCGGATGCCACTTTCACATCGCCTTAAAATTCGTGATTTCCTGAATGAATACTCCCTCGACGCGATCCGTAGGCGTCGTACGTTAGGTTTTCTTTTCGACACGAGTATATCCGAGAAGCGTTGTCGCGAGGCGAGGAGAATCGCCTCGAGATGCACAAAGACACGTCTAATTAGTAATGTGGCATTTGTAATGGGCACAGCCCAGGGCCGTATCGTCGAGCAGCGGGGCCCTCGCCTACCTCGTCGCGTCACGCCGGGCCGGGGCTACTCGTTCGGTTTTCCTAGGACTTTTTCCACGTTTCTTTCCTTCGAGGATTTGCTCAACTTGTTTATTGTTTCTCTCGCGAGCACGCGGCCCTGCGCTCGAACCACGGGCCCTCCCGAAAAAGCAATAACGTGGCCCTCCGTGGCCGTATCACCCCCAGAATCATATTCCTATGGCTTGTATTGTATATTGTACACCCTAGCCCCCAGCCCTCCGGAACCCACGTGACTAAGAATTATATATTAATTTAAAAATACACCAACGTCTCTTTCATTTGACCCAAAACATCCCGAAATTCAATGAAGAGCTCTTCAACGTTTTGTTGAACGGAAAGGATAAAGATCATCGACTTAAGTCGATGCAAAAGTGTCTCGTGTATGAAACTCTTCTCCGAACTGAGGGCATCAAATCGTTTCAAATTGTGCAATGTGAATGTGGAGGCTGTAAGGAAAGTCCCGACACCCATAAGATTTCGACTTTCTTAAATTTGTTCATAGAAAATTCTAAAATTTGTTAGAAACAATAAAATTTCGTGGATGTCAAGACCTTCCTTGTAGCCTTCATATTCACATTGTCGAGTTTGACACGATTCGGTACACTCAGGTCAGAGTTCCATGAACAATTGTACCCTCATATGTCACGTTAATATCCTTAACTAAAATACAAGAAAGATATAAAAAATAAAATAAAAGTGAAATAAGTCACTGTATGAAATTTATTTCCGAGAGACTTTAGAAGTTAATGAAATCTTGTAAGTACTTTTGATAATTGTATTCCTGATTAGGGCTCTTGTTCTGCTGCGGAACAGATTGCGAATGGCCGCTTCGATGCTGCGTTCTTTCGAGGTAAGTTATTGCGATTTGATAAAAGTTCCGGCGAGCGGTTGGTAAATAATTTGATGTCGATTTATCGATCGCGGTTCGATATCGCGTAGCAATATTTCCCGATTAATTTGACCCGTGTTATCCTTTCCTTCGGGTCTTCGGCGGTGGAACGTAAAGCATTTCTCTATGAGCTTTGAGGGGTTAAGAGATCTTGAATTATGGCAGATCCGCACTTTCAGATTATGAGTCTGCGGTGCTTAATTGAAAGCAGGTTTTGCTCGGTACGGTTGTACACGTTGGTACGGTAGTACGTATTAATTATTTGATGCTGCTCCATTGCTCATCTACCTCGCTACATTGGATCATGCACATCGTTCGTCGTTACGTTTACGGCAAAACTTAATAACAGGTAATGGCTCCGTGAATCACTCTGCATAATGAAAGCCTGACTTCTTGTAAATTAGATGCGATACGCCATTTCGAATTAGCTCGGAGATATTACTTTCTTCGAGAAACTCGGACAGAAATTGTCACTTTTCTGCCGCGAAAGAAGTACCTCGCCTAACCTTTTACCAACATTTCCTTTTTTAAATCCTGCAAACACTTGCATTGTTTAATGAAGAAAATTGTAAGATGAAATTGGCTACAATATCTTATAGTTCGCTATTTTCAATATCCGCTATGGTACTGATAACAATATTTAGCGATCGATCTACTGCGTCGCGAAACCGTGTCGGCGAACCTAACTTTAAAAGCCAGAAAGCGATTATTACAAATAAGACATTTATACAACACGATCGTTATTCACATTTCAAATATGTGGAAACGATTAAGGCGATGTAAAAGGGTACTTTGCGGCGCCAAAAGTTATTCATTAAGATTTTCTTCTACACGAGTGCACTGAATCGTTAGAATCTTATCACGAAAATAAAAAGGCTCTAAGAAAGCTCCCGGCACCCCTAAAATTTCCTTTTTAAGATAAAACATTTTTTCATTTATTTCGGACTAGAGCCAAGATGTCTACACATATTTGTAAGCGTTTTTGGTCCAACATTTTCAAAATGGCGGCATCGCCGAGGAGGTTGGAAATCGGAGATTGTTTCAGATAATACATCGGTTTAAATTTTTTTGCTAGCGTCGATTAAGTCTCTCGGCGTCTTTCACATCGCCTTAAAGGTGATGATGAAAAAATCGAGGGGCTCCGAATTTCATGGGAACTCACTCGGAAATCAAGGGTAATAAATTCCTTCTTTGAGAACCG